ATTTAGGCTAACAATTGGTTTAAGAACACATAAAGTTTTCAAAAAACAGATATCAGGTTAGTAGAGGCCGTGGTCTTCGGACCGGGCGAAAGCGGGTGCTCATTAGCTGACCTCCCGATCGTACCAAGCTCCGAGCCGAGACAACTCGTGATGACGGACACGGTGGCCTTCGGCACCGAGTCAGGTTTCCTAAATTCCCCATTTTAAAATATTTAGGTGGCGACTCTGTATCTGGCAAAGCAGTCCATGTTTGCACTTCTTTTCAAAAAATCTGTTTCTCAAAACGATTTGCCGGATTTGGACTCTTTGGTTCAGATTTAAGAACCGTGATACAAATCGAGAGTCCGAACTGTAGCGCGGGTCCCTCGCGAGCTTGTTACAGACCCGAGAAGATTTCACAAGGTGGTAAGATATGAAAGGCATACAAAATATTCTAAGTATAAACCATGGCAGAAGCAAATCAAAGAAATTAAAAGATTGAAGCATCCATAGAAAAACAATTGCAGTTGTATACAAAAGAAGGCACTACGGCCTACCACAAGTAAATTGTTCGAAGTAACAAAGAAAGGCACATTGGCCATGAGAGAGAAGCTTACATTGTCCAGAAAACAAAACAAAGTACAAGGTGCAAAAGAAAAACATGAAGTCAAGACTTCTCAACATCAGATCTGGCTGGATCTGAACTTCAGAGGTCTCCTGAAGAAGATACCTCGGCTTCACTTCCTTATCTGCAGCAATTTCGGCATCAATCTCGGCAAGAGTTTCATCAATACTCTTGTTGACCTGGGGAACATCAGACGAACCCTGCTCGGGGGTAACTTCCTTGGCAACTGCATCACCATCTTCATCTTAAGTCAGGTCCAAGACCTGCTCATTCAGAGAAGGAGACTTAGCCCCAACAGCCTCCCTGGGTTTCCTTACCAAAATTTCAGCCTCATCCTCGTCCTCACCTCCATCTTCATCCTCAGATTCAGAAGCATCCTCAGGTTGACTTGGAGGTGGAGGTGGTGGGAAGGGAAGAGGGATAGCATCGGCATTGCGGAAGGGTGAATCGGCAGGAAGATCAAGTTTCTTTATCAGGGACATCCAACCAAGGAAGAAGCCCCTGTTGCATGCCTGCCTGACCTGAAGTTTGTATTCTTCAGTAATGTCAGCCATACCCTGGACGTATGCCTTTTCATCAGCCTCCTTGATTTCAACATCCTTGGTGGCGAGGGCCTCCTGTAGTTCCTTTTCGGCTTGGGCCTTTCTGTCCTCGGCCTCTATCTTCTCTGCTTCGGCGACCTTCCTTATGGCCTCGGCTGATTCAACTTTTTCCTCGGCTATCTGTTGGGCCTTAGTTGCAACCTTGGCCTGGTCTTCCAGCTTCTTTATTTTTAGTTGAAGACTTTTGTTGTTCTTCTGCAAGGCAGAAAATTCCTTCTTCATCTCGGTCATTCTTTCCCGATTCTTAAAAGATTGCATTGAAAACGAGTGGGCATGCTGGATGGCCTGAAAGAAAATAGAAGTGTTGGAAAATATTTTAAGTATAAAACAGAAAGAAAGTCAAAAGTTCAAAGCAGGAGCACTTACTTGAACGGAGTGCTGGAGCATTAAAGCGTAGTTCTCATACTCACTATACTCAGCATTTCGCTCCAGGTCCCCTGGAAGGAGAAGAGCGGTACTAAGGGCGATGCCGACATTAATGTCATCGGTGCTTTCACTAGACATGATTGGCCTGTCCTCCAAGGTAATCTTTGGGGCCCAGGGGACGTCAGGTTTTTTGGACCCCGAAGCCGTTGCAGAAGACGACCTCGCTTTTTTTGACTTTGAAGATTCTGCTGGCTGTGTTTCAGCCGACCTTTTTGTAGAAACAGTCTTCTCACTCCCAGCCAATTATGAAATTGGCAGAGCATCTTCATTCTCAACTACAGTGGCTTTGGCCTTTGGCTGAGCCTTTTTGGTTCTTTTTGGCTTTGGTGGGGGCATGGATTGGGTTGGATTGGCATCAGCATCAACTGGGAGGTCGGCAAGGAGATCTTGGGCAACAGGCTTCGGGCGACCCATCTCAGCAGTCTTGACAAGTCGACGCCGACGTCTTCTTTCTGGTATCGGGGTTAAGTATGGCGCTGAAGTAGATGGCAGATCTGCTGGGTCAGAGGTGGATCCTTGGTCTACTCGTGATGTGGAAGCAGTGGGAAGAGTTGTGGCAGAAGGTGGAGAAAGACTCTTCTTCTTCTTCTTCGGGACGTCAGACAGAGTGGATTTGTACGTAGGAATAAAGTTCAGAAGGAGAGGTGCTTTCCTTTTGTGGACAGGCAAGTCCAGGAGCTTTTTCAGATCCTTGCTAAGAACGTAAGATTGGCGAAAGTCTTTCGCTGGTTTGCGAACGTCTGCAAGAAGAAACAGACATTAGAAACAGATAAAATATTGAAGACTTGAAAAGGAACAACTAAGTAAATAACACTGAGCTCTTACCCTTGCCTTCTTTAACCGTTCGAGGAAAAGGGTATAGATGGACATCTTCGTCTGAGGCAAATTCCCAATTTCCAAAGACAATGAAGTAGTCATCTCCAGCCCCCTTGTTGGAGTCTGAGAGGTCGGCTACGATTTTGAATTCAGTGGACCTCGGCTTGAGGTAGTAGACGTAACCTTTTTCCTTCAGGCTAAGGGGGCACATGGTGTAACAATACTGTATGTCGGCTAGGGTGATTCTAACGTTTTCTTGTCTGGCTAAGGCGATAATACCAAAAATCACTCGATAAGAGTTTATGGCAAGTTGCATAGGGTTCAACCTATAATAATGCAGAATCTCGCGAAAAAGAATGTTAAGTGGAAGCTGAAGTCCACACTCAGTAAAGGCTACAATAGGAAGAGGCATGGTGTTTTCGATAGGCATGATGGAGTCATCATCCCCAGCCAGTCTCAGGTGGACATCGGCAGGGACGGAGAACTCCTGTCTAAAATACTCAAGTTTGGTCGGGGTATCAACCCTATGTCTCCACATACCCATAACGTCGGCCTGAAGACAGAAGGCTAGGCTTCAGAAGGAAGGTGCTCTTAAGGGGTTATCGGGACCTCGGCGAAACCCTAGGTATATACTGGTAAGGATTGTTTCAGTTTTCCCTAAAAATTGAAGGTTCTATGGACAAAACCCAAACCTAAATCTATGAAGGCAAAGATTGAAAGCACAAATTAAAGGCAGAAATCTGGAAAACAAGAAACAAAGAACGACGTTTCAGAATCAAAGAATAGAGGTATGGTTCTCAGAAGCAAAAGAAATACAGAAGTAAAAGGTCAAGAACAGTGGCAAGAAAAGTGTTGAAACAGTGCAAGTGTTCAAAATATGAGTGAAATCGTGGAATAGACGCATCCAGATCAATAGTTCAGCAAATCAAAGGTTTTAACAGAGTAATAAATGACAGTAAGTAAACAAAAGCACATAGAAGAAATTAGGAGTGAGAGGAACAGAGGCTTACCAGAACAAATGAAGCCGGAATGAAAGTCGCCGAGATAAGGCAACGGTTACAGACACGACGGAACGGCGAAACCCTCGCTAAAATGGAAGAATGAAGACGGTTGCAGAGCTTGAAGCTAGAATAATGACGGATTTGAGAAAGTTTAAGAGAGAGAGAAAGCCAGAAAATCGAGTGCAAAAGTAAAGAAGTAAGGAGAGGAAAAAAAGTTTTAATCAAAAACTTGAAACGGCGGCAAAACAGGGCATTTATTGCGCCTAGAAAACCGCATGCGTCAGACGGCGCAAACAGATTAAGACAGCTAACAAGCGCGTCACATGCACGGGCCAGTACAAATAAAACGCATGCAGGAAACGGTTAAGAAGTGATGCATGACAGCTCATGCGCGTGGGAAAGATCATTCGAGTTCTTGTTCTTGAAAACAAGACATATCGGCTTAACAATCTCGGTCGAAGAGTTCTTACACCGAGGTAATGGAAGAAAATACAGATATAGGTTCCATCACCTCAGGATACCGAGGTAATAGAACCTCGGGGGCAGTTGTGGGGATATATTTTCTGAGTACCAACACGTGGCATGGTAACGCCGACGTGTCAGCCGACGTGTCAGCCAACGTGCCACGTGTTGTGGTAGTTGTGCCGAGGTTATCTTGGCGAGGCCGAGGTTATCTCCGAAGATATTGAAATCCGAGATAGGCGGATAGGGGACAAGAGTCCTAGAGTAAAGAGAAGACTTTGCTAAAGATAAGGATAAAACTCTTAGGGAGTTTGTTTTTATCTCTTGAAGAGTCCAAAGTCAGTACTAAATTGGAGTCCATAGAAGTCAGGCTTCTAGTAGGACTTGGATTGAGTAAACTATAAAAAAGAGGCACCCCCGTGGGTCTAAGGTATGCAGTTTTATACTCAAGCTTGTGAGTTTAGCACTTGATTATCTTTGAGAGATATACTGACTTGATCGTCGGAGTGCCCCCGGGTGGAAGAGCCACCGCCGGAGCCTTTTCTTTCTGTTACAGGTTTGTTGAAGCCATCTATTCTGCCGGTGCTCTCCAGCTGATTACTAGGCGGGCAGTGTGGTCAAAAAATTACCCACACACTATGCATACAGAATTTCTATAATGTTTTTCTTATAAAAATGTCATTTATGTTAGAATATTTAGATAAAGGATAATTTCTTTCTTTTTTTTTTTTTCATATTCTTCTTGAACTTAAAGTAGAACTCCAAAATCTATCAATTATGACTTAAATTAGATTTGATTTACATATGAACTTTTCATCTAAATTTTAATTTTTTAAAAATTTAGATAGGTTTGGATAGGTTAGTAATTTTATGTGACATGTATTTATTAATTTTTATAAATTAAAATTAATATTTTGAAGCTCTTAAAACATTTTGAACAAAATAATATTTTGTGTTAATATATAGATGATAATATAGTTTTGGAAAAATAATCACTTACAAACAATAATCTAAGTTGTCGATAAAAAATAAAATGATAATTTCAAAACATGTATATTGCGGATACAATGTCACTGTTGTGCTATGGGTGAAGCATAGCAGTGACTATTGTGCAGCTCGTGAGACTCATTTCAAATCCTATTTTGATGATTCAAATCATTCAAATTTTAAGAAATATCGAGAACAATATATCTGTAAAAAAATTAAGGGTGAAGCACTAATAAATCTCAAATTGTGATCTTATGAACTGTTTGGTCCTCTATTTTTTCTCATAGACCTAAAGATTTCATTCTAGTGTGAATTACATAAAATGTTAAGTATAAATGCATGTGTGTTATGTGTTGAGGGACAAATGTGGGTTTTTTCATAATGTTGAAATTACTAAATGTAACACTTCAAATTCTCAAATGTAGCTTTCCAACGTAACACTCAAAAAATATAATACTCCAATGTAACACACTAAAAAACTCTTTAGGGTACTTTTTCCAAACGTAATACTCCAACCAATGTAAGACACAAAAACTCCTTAGTGTACTTGTTCTCAAACGTAACTGTTTGAATGATTGAAAGAAAGGGAAAATTGTGTATCTATATTATTGAATTGAATGATTAATACAATAGAAGAAGCTTATATTTATAGGCTAAAAAGAAACCTAGATAAGTATAAAAGGAGATAGAGATACAAAGAGATATAGATACAGAAACAGATACAGATACAGACACAGACACAGATAAGTAAGTATAATATATATAAGTATATATTAACAGCCCCCTTAAACTCAAGGTGGATAAGCATCGACCAACTTTAGTTTGGAAACTAGATCACTGAAACGACCAGGAAAATGAGCTTTGGTGAAAATATCAACATGTTGATCAGCAGAAAAAATAGAGAGAAGATGAACAGTGCCACGTGTAACACGCTATCGAATGAAATGATAATCAATCTCAATATGTTTGGTGCGATCATGGAAGACATCATTGTGAGCAATCTGGATGGCACTCTGATTGTCACAATAGAGAGAGGTAGCACCAGAGGAAGAAACACCCATATCAGCAAGGATCCAGCGAAGCCACAAAAGTTCCTGAGTAGTATCAGCAAGAGAGCAGTATTCAGCTTCAGTACTAGAACGAGAAGTGAGAGACTGTTTCTTGTTACGCCAAGTAAGAAGAGAATCCCCTGAGAAGAAATAGAAACTCGTGGTGGAGCATTGATCAGTAGGATCCCCAGCCCAATCAACATTAGAAAAGTACAAAGCTCGAGAGAAGAGTGAGCAGAGTAGTGGAGTCCATGGAACATAGTGCCTTTGAGGTAACGAAATATGTGAAGTACAACAGTGTAATGCAGGGTGCGGGGAGCCGACATGTATTGACTAACTAGATAGACAACATAGGCAATGTTAAGATGAGTCACAATGAGATAGACAATACTACTTACCAGCTGGCGATAAAGAGTAGCATCAGAGAGAAAATCCTCGTCTAAAGAAGTGAGACGAGTCTGAGGATCAACGGGAGTAGAGGTAGTCTTGT